TAACAAATGTCTTAAGATGTTTTCCTTTTAACATTTTGTATAGTCCATATAAATCCTGATTGAAAAGTCAAATTGGAATTATGTTATGAAGGGAACTAACCTAATCCTGGTCACTATTCACTGGTAGGACTTCATGGGCAAAAAACGTGCGTAACTGGTTCAATAATAAATACAACCTTTTCCACGTGGACAGTTTTATACTGACTTTTGGATGGCAGCTAATAGTCTTCTGATTTTGATCTCTGACCTACTAAGAGTGGTACCTAATAAAAAGTAAAAGTCATTAAAAGAAATATTCAGTGAGCTATCTTTCATAAAAAAGATATGAACAATGTGGGATTACCTGACATGACTAAATTAACTGTGTGGTATGTTGTTTCCTGGTTTTGTACTGACTGGAGTGATAGTGTATATCACACAAATGGGCATAGTAAGTTATGACCCACGCATGAAGTGGTGATTTTAAATCTGTGGACAATGTGCTCCAGTGGTATGGTAAATTATGTGGTGGCAGTATAACTACACAGCATAACCCAGACCATTTGGTGGGCTGAATCCTTTTGAATGTCAGATGTGGAATATAAAGAAACATCAGACAGAACTGTGGAGTGTTCTCATAGAATGAGACTTAGATAACTATAATGAGACTACCTGGACAGCTCACATGCAGGAGGGTGTTGGGATGATAACGGTTTTAAAATAACAGCATTGCCACACACAATCTTCCACACTCACCTCAAAACCCCAACCAAACAAAAACCTTCTCAAAAATCCCAAAACCATGTGTGCAATCTGCAGTGATGATATGGTTAAAGCGGCTGCTGCAGTCTGTGGATACAGGGTAGGCAAACAGAAGTAACATTTAGTATTCAATGTTTTAGAGGGAATGGGCAGAATGAGCAATATCTAGAAGTTGAAGTCTAGCAAATTAAAGCAATAGATGCATTAATTGGGTAAATGTGATCAATTCCTGAAACAGACTACCAGGATAAGCAGTAGGTTCTCTGTTATGTGCTTTCATATGAAGTATTTCTAGTAATTTGAGCAGCTGAGGATGGGAATTACTAATTCTTATTCTGCCAAAGAATAATAAATAATTTGGGTGGTATTATTTGAACCATATTTTGCATAACCTGAAAGTAAAAATTGGTGCTGACCATGGTGCTATCTCTTTTTTTGCTACAAATTGGAACAAACTGTTTAAAGTTGTGCCTATTTGCTTTAAATGGTCCCCTGCTAAGAGATTGAGTTTCATGCAGATTTAGGTTGCTGGGGACCATGTATGATTGACACAATTAATCAAAGATCGTGCTCCTAATCCACACCAAACATAACACAGTTGAGAGAACTCAATTAAAACTTTTGTTCCTCCAATTTAAAAGATCAGCCACGTGGGAGCAAAGTATCTCAGCCTTACTTGTTTAGCTCAAGACCAGTCTTAATAAATTGCCTTATTTTCCTTTGCAGTGCAATTTAGATGCTTATAAATCAGCAGTCATGGTTCACCAGAATTCCACGCGTGAACTCCTGCATCTTTGTTTAACAACTTTACCTAGAATGTTTTAATGGATGTAGTTGAATGCTGAAAGAAAATGTAAAAATCTGAAATGATAAAAACAGAGCAGGGGAAAAAGGTAAAAGTGCGTTACTAACCCTTACTTAATAAATACAGAAATTGAGAAGTAAACAAAATTAAATTTAGTAGTTAAATTATAGGCGCTCTCTCTTCTTAGCATTCATTTTGAATTTTGTTTGTTACCCTGACCATATATCACAAGCTTTATCCTTCTTCCTGGGCACCTTTATATCAAGGCTACAGTGAAGACATTATTCAAGACTGTAAACTTTTGACAGCTTACACTTAGGGTACTACAACTGCTTAATAAAAGACAACATCGAAAGGATTAAGAGGAAGAAGCTTGTGATTGCAAGGGTTCTCAATTTTGTAGAAAGGGGCTGTTTAAATAAGAAAAAAAACACGGAGAGTTTTGTTACTGCCTGAAAAGGTGTTTCATTACTGACTTGAGAATTTGGGTGGTGTGAAGTAGTGATGTAGGAAGCTGTGGGGCAGTGTCATGGCTTACAGCAGTGTTAAAGGTAGCCTTAAATTCACGGTGTTCATGCACAAGTAAGGCATGCAGGAACAGGAGTCAGTGTCTGTTTTCAGGGAGGAATGTTGTTGACTGGTTAAACTGCTGCCTGAAAACCAATCCAGCACTAACACTGAGGCAGCATTTAGCATCACTTATAAGAATAAATCTTTTTCTCTAAGTCTTACAGCAATAATATGCTTGCAGTAGATAGCTCCTTGATCTCATGTGGAAGATGTATACTGTTCTCTTCAGAAGGTGTAATACTTGGTTTTTCCTTCTCAGGGACAAAGCTGTGCAGGTTTTAATGCTGTTGTACTATGAAGGCCTGAAAGGTTTTTCTGAGGCATATGTGTCTTGTGGAGATTGAAATAGGGAGTTTCACAATATGTTGTGGTACTTTCTGTTCTAAAAAAATTTTTGGGGGTTAGTAGAGAACAAAAATAACTGGTTTATTTCCAAGTATTCCTGATGGACATTTATTATGCTCCCACCACTTCTGAACCTGTGTTGCAGTAGGCAGATGTTTGCCACTATGTATGTGAATCTTAATGCTTTAAACATATGGTTTGCTAGCGGCAGCATTTGTGATCCCACTGCATCTGTATGCCCATCCTATAAGAATGTTGATTTTTTTTTTTTTTTATCCTTTTATGGTAGTGGAACTGTTTTGTTTCAAATAGGAAATGTTAATGGTACACAACATATACTTCCTCGTTGTGTCCTTAGTGGTTTTGTCTTCTGCCACTTGCTGCATTTGTTGAGGTTGTCTTTTAGGATGATGTTATCTTCTGGTTTGCTGTTGACTAATTTCTTCACTGTATTACACTTGTTGGTACATGTTTTTGCTCTAATGTACTTATCTTGTACCTCTTCATTAGTCCTCAGTTAAGATGTGTTGCTTCTTGGTAACTTCTAAGCTTTTTACACAATGGTTTTCCTCACCTGGAAGTTCTTCCTTAGGTTGATTTCTTCTTGTCTGCACCACGCCCCGCCCCTGCCCCAATGTTTGTCTTACGTAAATTGCTTCTGTGCAACCCGGTCTTTATTTTTGCTGTTTGTATACATAGTCTAGCCCTTCCAAAAGTATTTTTGTGTTGTTTCTTTCTTCAGCGCATTAAGAATCAATTTCAGATACTGGGCAGCTACTTGTTTTCTGTAGTATCAGGCATCTTTTCTTTAATGACAACTAATTGTAATTCCCAGTCAAGAGTTAATATAGTCTTAATGTTTCTTACACTGTGTTTAAAACCAGTTGTTCTCATTTTATACACATTTCCTTGTATGTTTTACTGATGACTACTGTAAAATAAGAGGATGTTGTTCTTATCCAAGCCCATGAATCTTTTACCAAGTTGCTGGTACCCACAAAAAGCTACTCCCTCACTCCTCCCACTTGTATCTCCCCTCTCTTTTAGCAGTCAAAATTCTAATCTCCCCCTGCACTGATCTATGTTGTTTTTCCAATATTTTGATGAAAGCTTTCATAGGGATCAGGATTTCCAGTTGTTAGTACAGAATTTTCTTTTTACACAATGGTTTTCTTCACCTGGAAGTTCTTCCTTAGGTTGATTTCTTCTTGTCTGCACCACGCCCCGCCCCTGCCCCAATGTTTGTCTTACGTAAATTGCTTCTGTGCAACCCGGTCTTTATTTTTGCTGTTTGTATACATAGTCTAGCCCTTCCAAAAGTATTTTTGTGTTGTTTCTTTCTTCAGCGCATTAAGAATCAATTTCAGATACTGGGCAGCTACTTGTTTTCTGTAGTATCAGGCATCTTTTCTTTAATGACAACTAATTGTAATTCCCAGTCAAGAGTTAATATAGTCTTAATGTTTCTTACACTGTGTTTAAAACCAGTTGTTCTCATTTTATACACATTTCCTTGTATGTTTTACTGATGACTACTGTAAAATAAGAGGATGTTGTTCTTATCCAAGCCCATGAATCTTTTACCAAGTTGCTGGTACCCACAAAAAGCTACTCCCTCACTCCTCCCACTTGTATCTCCCCTCTCTTTTAGCAGTCAAAATTCTAATCTCCCCCTGCACTGATCTATGTTGTTTTTCCAATATTTTGATGAAAGCTTTCATAGGGATCAGGATTTCCAGTTGTTAGTATTTCAAAAAGAAAAAAAGAAAACGCAACACATCTATAGGGTAAACTTTTGTTGCTATTTCTCACTGTTTTTTCACTGTGTTTCTTCATTCTTCTGTTCCATTATAAATTGCGGGTTTGTTTTAATATGGCCAGAAATTCATTGTGCCAATTCTGTTCACTGCCACTTGGAAGACTTGTGGTGTGGTTTTCTCCCTGTAATGCTTTGTTTAGTCATATTATTTGCTCTGTGAAATCTTTACCTATATTTGGACCTGATAAACCTAGTAGATTCAGTACTGTTGCCCTTCTGTGACTTGATTCTTGTGATCCTCAGAGTGAGAATTCTGACCAGATAGCACTATGCACCGTTTCGCAGGAGTTGCCGAAGTGCTTGATTGGCTGCCACATTGCTTGGTAGATTTTTGGCATTTTGTTTGCTTGTTTTAACTTGGGAAGCAACTTGGTCTTGTCTTGCCTAGAACTGAAGTGTACTTCTGTTTAGCAATCAAAACTTACGATTCAGTTTTTTGCTCCACCAGATGATTATGCCACAAGTATTAAGAATGCTGGGATGGTTTTAGAGATACTGATAACTGAGTAATGTCCCAAGTTTGTTACATGAGATTTGTTTTCAAGGTCAAAAACATCTGTAGTGTGCGCAGATATCTCAAGAGCATTCTCTTCTGTTACCACACTAGTCATCTACCTTAAATGTAAAGAAAAACTTCAGTGCATATAATTACTTGAAGGGGGTTTTATTTGCAAAAATAATGTGATGTTGTGTATGTGTCTGTTTTCAATGCAGAGAACAGACCCACAGCTCCTTGCTCAGTTCTACTATGCTGATGAAGAACTAAATCAAGTAGCAGCTGAACTGGACAGTTTGGATGGAAGGAAAGACCCACAGAGATGCACGCTGCTAGTCAACCAGTTTCGCTCTTGTCAGGTAATCAAAAGAGCACCTTCCTGATTTCACTGACATTTTTTTGTATGTTACATCTAGTATGTTATTTCTTGTGTTAATCAGTTTTTATTGTCAAATCCCTTAAAAATAAATCTTTGTGTGTATGTGCCTTTCCTTTGTGTAAAGGGTACATTTTTGAAATCACTATTCATGAAGTAAATCTACTACATCTGATTTAAGTGTGTTGATGCTTTACCTTAAATAAGAACATATATTGAAGACTTTAAAATAAACATACAGATCTTACTAGAACATGAGAAGTATTTCAACATTTCAGGCAGTATAATGTAGCTATGTTATTTGTAGATGCTCAGCTTTCATATCTCATGAATCTGATAGCTTTTCATTATTAAATTAACTGTGTGAAGACAGCTGGTAGCTTTGATTTTTTGGAAAATATATTGTCTGCTTCATGTAAGTAGTCTTGAAGATGAGAGGAACTGCTGAGGAACCACGCAACAGGGGTTTTATGTGTAAATTACTGCCAAGTATGCATCTGTTTCCAAGTCCTGTTGTATAATCTAGCTCACCTAAAAAGAAGATTCCTTTGAATATTTGCTGAAACTATGGTTATACTTTGAGTGAGACTTGAAGGGAGAAGAACCGGAGACTGCCAGGATCAGTTCAGCTAAATCTAGCACCCTGACTTGGATGGTTTTGTGATTTGATTTATTGAGGAAAAGCAAATCAGAAATTCAAAACAATTGAGAAAACATAACCTTCTCTGTCACTTTTTGCCATTCCAGACCAGGTTTTTCAGTAATAATTCAAATTTGTGGAGGTAAAAAATACTTTTGTGGTACTCCTTGTACTTGCACGAGCACTTTTATACCTACCCTCCTAGTCACACCCAAGAAAACCACTTTAAACCAAAGTAGGCTCAAGTCCAGAATACACCATGCTCAGGTGGTAGGAGTATTTTTGTGTGAAAAGTGAACACTTGCTGTCAACTCAGGAGAATTATAAGTGAAAATACCATAGTAATAAAGATTCCCCTACTTCTCCACCAAGTGAAAAATGGCAGTGAAGTGTAAAGGATGTGTTTTCATTCACCCCTTGCGAGAATTTCTTACTGTTGCTAATGGTGAAATGTACCAAACTTCATTATGTGGAAAACTTTCATAACAAATCAAGTTGAGTTAAGAACAGTGCCCTGATCATCCTAGCAAATGTTTGCATTAAGTTAGCTGGGTCTCTTGAAAAGTGTCAGTTTGCTTGCAAGCAAACTGAATGTTAAGACTGCAGTTTTTCTGATGACTGCTTTCAGAGAAAGTGGTGACAGTCAATATATTGTTTGGTCAGTAACAATTTTAATACTTCTGTCTACTTTTAATATCTTCAGTTTCCTGCTCTAGTGTCACTAGAGAAAAATGCCTAGTTTAAGGGTTTACCAGAGTGGAAACTGAGTTTAGTAACAGTCAAAATTCAGTGACTTGGAGGGGAAAAAAATAGCAGTGACAGTTATCCTGAAAGGTCATCACTCTTCACAAGGATTTCTGGCTTGTTACTATAATCTTCCAGTAATGGACATTCCACAAACTTTCTAAGCAGTCTCTTTTCAGACTGTTTGTTAGGAAAGGTTTTCTGATAATAATGTGGTGAAAGCTAATCTCCTTGTTGATTGTTTTATCCCTGGAGGTGACAACTTATTCCCTGTTTCTCTGCAGGTGCACACCCTTTCTGATTTCTTGCTTGTAGCCTAGGCAGACCTGAGGAGCTGTTCTTTTAAAAAAATAGCTTCTGGGAATGTTTCATCTGTAGGAATGCAAGAAATGCAGGCTCAGATAGCTCCTTGGTCATTTTGCTGGGTTTCTGTAGTGACTCACCACCTTGTGACTCTTAATATCTTCTGATGCCTCTTAATTTCTTCTTTTCATTTGTCAAACAGATTGCTGTTACTAAAACAATCTGTTGCTGGAGCTGAAAGAGATGGAGATGGCTTTATTTTTTCCTGTAGCTATTTTTGTCATTTCTAATTTACAAAGTTCTGCAGATTAGGTCAGATCATTGTCAAATGTGTCAAAAATGGCTTTGCTAATTAGGATTTATATTGTTTTGTTGTTGTTTATGTAAAAGCAATGGGTTTTGTGTTTCTTTCCTTCCAAGAATATCATGTCAATGCCAAACAAGAGAAGGAGCAGTATTTTAGTAATGATTTGGAATGTAGACGTTCACTAATCAAATATTGCATGGTAAGAGGGGAAATCGGTTTTAGCTTAAGGTGTGGTGGAGATTGAGGAAGATGGAGAACCAACAGCCAGCCTGGGCTCAAAATGATTGTCAGGGAAGATTGTGCATGTGGAATTAGGATAGCAGTTGCATTGTGCATACCTCTGATGTGACTGCTGTTGCAGATAATTTTGAGGCCTTTTTTTTAAGGAATGTGTTCTTTTTGGCTCTTGAAGCCATCCTTTTGAAAAGGAACATGACCACACAACATAGTTAACCAGACTCGCAGTCTTTGTTTGATTCCTTTTTTTTCCCCATTTTGTCCTTGTTTTTCCTTGGTTATTCCCGATTTTTTTTTTATAAAATTTACAGAGGCATAGTCTTTCCATCAGATTTTAGTGTTTTCGAAGGACAAAGATTTCTAACAACTATTGACCTTCTGCCTTTTCATCTGTTTTTTAAATTAATTCATGGTTCCTGTGTTAGTTTATTTTCAGATAATTTTACTGATAGTGTCAGCTTGCTTAACAGGTGATGCTTTGAAATTTTATTTTGATGTATTGACTAGAGGAGAGACATGTCTTTTTCCAGAAGACCAACAAATCTTACAAACTGTCATTCTTTTTAGAGAGCGGTTTTGTATCTGTATTTTCAACTTCTGGTAGTATTGTTAGAGCTCCAAGTTTGCTACAGTATGTGAACAGATTCAGACAGAATGAAAGGACTCTGCCTAAAGCATGGCATGTTTTGTAGTGGAAATACTTAATGTTTTCTAGCTTAACCAAAGCAGCAGTGTTAATCAAGGCAAGTTGAAGGTACAGCGCAATGTGGTGTTTCCATGGATATGCAGATAACTTCAATCTTCAGGACTACTCATGCTTCCTTAGTAAAGAACTGCACCTCTCAATGTTGTCTTATAGTGGTGTGCCTTAGTACTATTTAATGATCAAGATCAAACTTTTTGTAGTAAATTAACTTTTCAAAACTTTTGAAGACCTTGCAACTTGGATTTTATATGCTCTGTGGGGACTGTATAGCATGATGCTGAGTAGCATGTCTTTTGAGTAAGAAGCAAGGTAATGGCTTTCAAAAGTTCACTTTTCATTTGCACATTAATGTAATTTAACACTTTCTTCCACTTATGGTAGCCTGTTAGAAAAATGATATCCCTTGTTTTGCTTTGAAGTTTGCATGTCACTGGTAGAGTATTATAAAGAATGTAATATATCTAATAGTAGTGTATCCTGCATGTATTGTGTGGCTGGTACCTATCCAACAGAATGTACCACCTCCTCTAATAGTTTCTCTGAAAATTAACATTATCATAAGTGTGCAGAAATGCATGATAAGCTATGTAATCTTTTCTTAAATGAAAAAGAAAGGGTCGGTAAGATGTCATACTTTGGTTTGAACTTGATTGATGGTAATACAAGGAAAGTACTTTTTTCTTAAAAACATGTTTGCATCTGTGAATCTTCACTGATGTGCAATGCTGGTTCATCTGAGTTTTTCCTGCAACACAAATGATTAATTGAAGTATTTTTATATTATGGTTATAATAAGGTGTCCTTTTCTGTGCTGTTCCCAGCACCAGACAGTATTGAATTTCCTAAGAAGTAATGGTATTTTGTGTTTTAATTAATCACTCATGCATTTGCAATCATTCTTTAAATTAATTTACCTTGATCATTACTATTTTCACATTGATTAGTATCTTGTTACTTAAATTGGACAACTGGTTTAAAACAATTTCCCAGCCAATTAGATGGATTTAAGTTTAATCTTACATGTTACAGAACTTCATTAGTTTTGTTTAAGAGTAAAAGTAAAAAAAACCCCTTTGTTTCTAACCCAGAGATGTTGTGAGGACTTCATAGGTAAACACTGAACCTGTGTCTAACCTATATATCACTTTACACTGTAAAAGTGTTTTCAGCATCACAGCACTTGCATGCTGTTTCAGTAGGCTGAGAATTATTTATCCGTATACAGTAGCGAGATCTCGGAATAGCATATGAGTCAGTTCCCAGCATGGCTTTATCAAAATTATTCCTTGAACTGCAGATTGTGTCTCAGCATTGTGTAATATGATCTGCCAAAGTGCACTAGGAAGGATTTTGCCCCTGTCAGGCCACTGACTTGAAGCAAACCATCGACTTGCCTGGCTGTCTTACCCCTTGTGCCATGCCACAGAATAGTAAAATGGAGAATTTATGGTATTTGTGAAACATGGCAGTTTCTGGCTTAGTGATAGGAGTGATTGACTCTGCACTGACTGGCAGAATAATATACTGGCTCTTTGCTCTTTCTCTGCCATCTGCCTCTTGGGGAAGCACCTCTTGAATAACTGGAATTGGCAGTCCAGCATTTTAAAGTTAGCGATCAGCAGTCTGTTTGCTGTAACATTACATATTTAAAATGTAGCCTTTAGTGGGCTGCTTCATACACAGGTCACTCCTCCGTATAGTGGGTGAGAAGCAGATGCCTATGAATCTGCACCTCATTATCTATCACAGTATAGGTTAATCTTGCTGAGGAATCTGAGCCCTTAGAGAAAGCTGAAGCATATTTCAGTGTTGTGTTGTTATCGCTTGTCTGTCTCAACTTCTGTAGCCATATAAAATATGTGGTAAATGTTGTTTAAAAGAAAAAAAGCTATTTTAACCAGACATAACTCTGTATTTCTTCCAAATCAATTTAAAAACTGAAAGCATCGTTGAGATGAGTTGAGATTCAAGTGGCAATGAAAACAAAGCTTTGCCCTTATCATTCAGGAGTTTGTGTTAGAGTGGTTTGAAGCTACAGTCTGAAGG